AAGATGTCCCATGTGAGTTACAAATGGATGGTTACATTAAATTTGAAGCACTTCCTCCTCTCTAAAACAAATACAAAATGAAACAAAAAAGCAACTGTATGAGATCTAAACTATCATACAAATCTAAGAATTAAACATAATCAAAGCGGAGAAAAGTATGCTCCCTTGGAGAAGTAGTTAGGAACAACTGAATACAGAACAGAACAGTTCCAGCTTCATACTACCACCTTCATTCTCCTCACTCATACATGTTAGTGGCCTATCTCTAACCACCTTCCCCTGTGCTATACCCAACCTGGGCACTTCCACCCACACCTGTGGACCACTAGCTACAGATAATTAATTCCAAATCTCTATCTCCAGCCACAGTCTCTCTCCTGGGTATAAGACCACTATATATCTCAGGACATCTCTACTTGACTGCAGCACTAGAATTTTAAACATAAAATGCACTACTCCCATCTGCTCCTCCTGTATACCTACTCTGGTTATTGGTATCATGTTCTAAAACCTGAGAGATACCCACTCTATTTCCTCTCCCCTCACTAATCCTTTATCAGTCACAAAGTCAAGTCCTATTCTACCTTAAAAAGGATAACATCAAAATCCATACACTCCATTCCCAATACCTCTGCCTTGGTTCAGGAACAAATACATTTTGGATTCTCTCCTAAGAGTTCTCCCTACCTTCAGTCTGGCTCATTCTTCCATCATTCCTTTATATTGCTGCTAAAGTAATCTTTCTAGAATATAATATGAATAATTTCCACCCCTGCTTAAAATCTTTCAATGATCCAAAATAAAAACTTAATCCTTTGCAGAATATCCTGTCTCTTACTACCTCTTTAGCTTTGTCTCTTCCTAATTTCCCATATAACATACTAAGTTCCAAACACATCACTGCAGATCCTGGGGGAGAAAAAATCATACTGTTTCTTACCTCAATAGCCTCAGAATATGTTATTCCCTCTTTCTAGAAAGTCTTTTTCTAAACACTTTCAAGTTACTTTGACTTGCTAAGCCTCATCTCGGATATTGCACATGGCCTTCAACTTTCTCCATTCCCTCCTTGCTCCCTCAGCAGTTAACAGACACCCGTTCATACTACATTATAATGCTGGGTTCTATTCTACTACATTTTGAACACTATGAAAATAAAAGACAGTTACTATTCACTTTTGTGTCCCACACGAGTAGCACTTTACCTGGCAATATTAAGTGATAAATAACTACTTATAGACTATTTAAGCTTTTTTGGTTTTTTCAGAAACATAACTTCCACTATAAACATCCCCCAACAGACACGGAGCAAAGCAGCTACTTAAGAAAAATAACAGAAACCAGTGAAGAAAGGAATAGACATAAACAAATAGGACAGAAGAGGGAAAATTAAACACATGGTGTCTCTTCAGAGCAGCTCCTGGGAGCTCACTGTTTTCTACTCTGTGTCTCACATTCTATCACAAATATGTTTTACTTGCTATTTGATTTTCAATGCTTATTCTGATCTCCCAGAAAATAAGCGGTGAGAAGTTCTTCTCTCCACAACTGGGTAGACACAGAAAGAAAAATTGCAAGCATTACCTAAATCAGCTATGCTTCACAACTGAGCATAGTTAAACTTTAAAAATGCCACAGTAAGACTCCTGAGGTACCCAAGCCCAATTCCACTTCTAAAAGTTGCCTCATAAAAGACTTGAGAGCAAGATGACAATGGATATTTTACCAACCAGTTATCAAACATTCTTCCTAACAGATTCCCAATATCCTGAATTTACAATCCTTCTCTTGTGGTAAGGAATTATATAAAATCATGATTCACTCTGTAAATGTGCATCTACATTTTTATCCTAAAGATAAAATTACTTTCCTCCTACCTACTCCAACTGGTCCTTGAACAGAAACTTCCCCAGCTGAATTCCCTCTATTTGCCACAGTTGTCCATGATCACAAAGGAATGGAATAGAAAACTCTACTCCTAATACTGAGGCCTCTGACATTCCCAATCCTTCCCCTTCCTTTTCTCCAGGGGTACCTAACTTTGCCCTTTAATTAAAACAAATTCAGAATCCACCAATTCATAAGTAGTTTTAGAAGGGTGTGAGAGAATCCTGGAAACCAAACTCCATGTAGCATAGTAAGTCCACAATTATGTCCCTCCCAACCAGTATGCTATAAACATAAGTATCAAGCTTATGTACCTGTAACTCAGATAACATGTACCAAGTTTGCAATCATCAGTTGTGTCGCTCTCAGTTACCTTGATATAAACATAAGCATGAAGTCTGTAACAATACTCAGATAACGTGTACCAGGTCTATAGTCATCATGAACCAAAAACAATAGAAACCCATGCCATAACTAGTAGCATCAAGTATAACAATCATAAATCAGATGTTCTGAAGAACAAATGGGGGAAAACGACTTAGAAGGCTGAACAAGGGACACCACTCTTTGGTATCCCTGCTCCAGCCAGGTTTTTCTCCCCTCCAAGTCACTAAAGTCTTCGCTAGCCCTCGTCCTTAGAAAATAATAAACTGGCTCTCTTGGTAGAATCCACCCTACTTCTTCTAATTCCCAGGCTTAGACTGAACAGCCTTGCAACCACAAGAATTATTTTATCCAAATAGGTTTAAATTTATCTTTACCCAGTTGCCAACTCATTAACTACAGGACCCTAGCCCCACGGAGCACACTTTTCTTCGTTACAAAAAAAATAAGTAAAAATGCTGTTATCAATTAACAGGGAAGAAAGGACAATGCTTCCCTACAGAAACATCGCCAACTAATACAGGAGGAAGGAGGGAAACAGTCACCACTGAAACACAACGGGCAAGTTCCAACAATCAATGCTAAAATTGGTTGGCAAAGTTGAAGGAGAAACAGGGTATCTGTATAGCCTCACAGTATTTCCCCCCAAATATGTATTAATGTCAAAAGGGAAAATAGTAACTTTATAGCGGAGAAACTTGGCATATATCACCTTAACCAGGTGATCAGTTAACATCAACAGTAATAATGAGTCACTGATATCATGTGCCTGGTATCCTTTCCAATAATACCTAACACCAATCTAATCAAGAGAACACATCATATAAACCCAAATTGAAAGGCATTCTACAAACTGACCAAAACTTTTCAAAAAAGTGTCAAGGACATGAACGATAAGAGACCGAGGAACTGTCATAGACTAGAAGAAATTAAGAAGACAAAATGACTAGGATCCTGGATTGGGTCCTGGAACACATTAAGAACATTAGTGGAGATATGGGCAAAACGTGAATAATGGCTGTGGTTAATAGCTCTGTAGCAATGTTAATTTCTTAGTTTTGATAATTGGTTATATAAAATGTTAACATAAGGAGAAGCTGAGAGTAGGATGTATGGGAACTCTGCACTGTCTTTATAACTTCTGTTAAGTCTAACATTATTTAAAGAGAGTTCAGAAAAAAAAAGAAAGAAAAAAAACCCTTAATTCCTGATACCAAACCTCCTAGGTCTAACAACACATTTTTTATTTAGTCAGTTTTTTAATTTAGCCTCTCCTCCAGCCTACCAATAACATATACTGAGTTCCTATTCTTTCCCCCAAAAGCTTCCAAGTTCTTATACTTTAGGACCTTTCAAAGTGCCTTTATTTCTTCCCAACACAGAGCTAGACTGACTCTCCTTCCTGTCCTGCCATAAACTGACATGGCTTAAAAGACGTCACTTAAACACCTTAATATCTTATAGTATTATTGCGATGAACAATTTACGAAGTGCTTTTAAATACATTTAATACAAAAATTTAGAGGTGTATATTGTAAATACTGTTATTACTTCACAGATAAGAAAATAAGACAAGAAAAATTAAGTGAGCTGATATTTAATAAATGCCAGAACCTGAATCTGAATCCAGTTTTTCTAACTCCAAGACCAAGTTACCCTATTAAAAGACATCAGTCTGCATTTAAAAATATTCAACTTCCATAGCCCCAGGCAGGCTGATTACTTCTGATGCACGATATTTAGGAAAGTTCAAAATTTCACCATGGTCCTAGGGCCCCTCTTACAAGCTTCAATGATTCTACAATCAAGAATTCTGGGATTCGGTGACAAGGGTCTGTGTTTACCCTAACCTTTATGATTTTCTAAATACAGACTTCAGTCATCTCTTCAGCCATTAACACTTTAGGCTGAAGAACCGCTTGCCTTTGTTCTTAAACAAACACTGCTTCGTGCTTTCAAACACCTGAGAAATGTCGTTCTAATCTCCAATTCCACTCCTTTCTTGATATTTGCAAATCAGAACCAGGGGAAACCCTGCACGGCTCCACCCCCACAAAATACTCAGAGTATCTTTTTCTTCACTCAAAACAAATGGTGGGGGCAGTCACGGTGCTAATCCCTAATGCACGTGTCTGTTTTAAATGTAGTGCAATGATGCAGGGCAACGTAACAAAGCAACTTTTTCACCTGACTTCACTGACCAGCATTTTTCCTCTTTCAACGCGTGTAGTCACCCCCGGCTTAAGTGATTTATCAGTCAACTGAGAACATTAAGACCCAACAAAAAAGCATGAGGTTTGGTTTTGTTTTGTTGTTTTTAAATAGTAATTATGAAAACAAGCCTCTAAGTCTGAAAACACAGAGGTAATGAGAATGGTTTAGAGGCGCTTGCTCGCAGGCCCAGGAGGGGACGGAGCTCTGAGCACCTGCGGCGATGGGCTGTTTTGGGGCCTCCGTCCTCACCCCGCGGCGCCGGCGGGGCAGGGGCGCAGGTGAAATGAACGCTGAGGCGGATGCAACGGGGACGAGGAGCCGGGGGAGAAACAGCGGGCTCCGGGGTAACTTCGGGCAGGACTTCCGAACAGCTCCGCTCCGGCTCGTGCAAACGGAGCAGCGGCCGCGGCGTGGGCCCCGGGAGAACCGGCGCGGCGGGCGGCCTCTCCCAGGGGCCGGCCGGGACCCCTCCGAGGGCCCCAGGGGGTCGCAAAGCCAAGGGGGCAGCCACTTGCCTCCCATTCCTGCAAGAAACGCCGGGCCTCGTCGGGACCAACCGCCCGGTGTCTCCGGAACTCGTCCTTCACGTACTGGTCGCCCAGGGCCTTGAGGTCCGGGGGCAGCGCCCGGTGCAGCAGCAAGATGCGCCGATACAGGGCCCGGACCCGCGAGACGTGCGCGGCCGGCATCGCGCGCGTGGGCCGCAGGCCGCGCCTGCGCACAGGGACGGCGCGTGCCGGCTCCACGCCGGGCGTCCGTGAACCGGAACACGGGCGGAAGTGGGCGCGCGAGCTTCCTCCGGTTTGGTGCGCTCTGAAAGCGGGACCATCCGGAAACCCGCGCGGCGGCGGGCGGAGCGCGGCTGTCGTGGCCGCGTCCGGGCCAGAGCGCCCCAGCCAGCGGACTGGCGTGGGCTGGTTGTCACCCCACAGTCACACTCCGTCGTCTTTTACCCGTATCTTCCTCCCTTCTCTCCTTGCCCAGGCGTGAGAAATCGTTCGTCGAGATCAGCCTCCTCCAGGAAGCCTTCCATGCTCAGCTCGGCCAATCTCAGGTTTCTGACCGTGTGCCTGCACTCTGCCAGAGGGAGCAGAGTGGAATTAATCTCTCCATCCAGAGCCACCGACCCACTACTTTGCACAGTGCTCTGCTCCTAATTCGTCTCCCGAAGGTGTGGCCCTTTTCATGTAATTCAAATGAGCCCTGAGTCAGTTTCGTTAGTTCAAGTCAAATTGGCTGCAAAAAAAAAAAATCATTAGGAAGTCCTTTTAAAGTGCTGTTTCCAGGGCCTGGACGCTGGAGATTCTGATTAGTCTGAGATGAAAAGGTAGAAGCAGAACGTTTACAAATCTCCACCTTTTGCGAAGGTGGTGATGCGAGTGTGACCAGTTTCCAAAGTTGACAGCAACGTGGTCTAGTTCTTTCCCATCGCACTTTTGGTCCTTCAGCAAATCCTGATGGCTCCACTAACAAAAGATAAGCAGAATTCGACCATTTCTCACCACTTCCTCCACCACAATTGTCTCTCTAACTGGATATTGTTGGGTGCCTGCTTCCGGCCAGGACCAACGTGGGTCATTATCCACCTAAACTGTAAATCAGGTGTCACTCCTCTGCTCAACAAAATCCTCCAGTGGTTTCTCATCAGAGTAAAACCCAAAGTCTCTCCACCTCTTAGGTCTGTAAATTTTCTCCCAGTGTGTTGTTCCTAGTTAGGCAGTTCTGGCCTTCTAGTTCCTAGCTCATCTTTGAACAGCCCAGGCACACACTCCCAGCTGAGGGCCTTGGTACTTGCTGTTCTGCTTGGGATCCTCTGCCTCATATATCTCCTGGGCTAACTGCTTTATTTCACTCAGCTCATTACTTCAGGCCTCCTCCTTTTGACACCCTCCCTGGCAAGTGCATTTGAAATTGCAACATCATTGTGCCAAGAGCCCCTAACCCCCTTCTTTGCTTTATCTTTCTAACACATATTTTACTTATTTGCTTTTTATCTGTTCCTTTCCACCACAGAATAAACATTTCATGGGGATAGAGATTTTGTGATTTCAGGTGACCTATTGGTGATGAACGGACAAAAGAATGGGAATATCTGAGATTCTCTCCCAGACACTAGACTTGTCTGCAAACCTTTTGAAAGACAAAGATACATACCCTTCTACCAAGGACTTACTCATTTTATTATCCTATTCAGGGCCTACCACAGTGCCTTACAAATAGTAAGCACTCTAATATTTATTACCTTGAATGGACTTTTTCATTTTGCTTAAATTTAGGAAAAATATTTATTTAAAAGAACACAGAACATTTTTAAAAAATGAATTTAATTTGGTATTATGACAAACCACATTAATGGCAAGGGTTGAATGGCAGTGCGGTTATTTACTTCAGGAAATTTTTTCTAACCATACTTCATCTCTTAATATCCCTGTAAATTGAAAATTAATTTCTTGTTCCAGTTTACTTTTTTCTGGTTTCCTTTGGGGTTAAAGTACATGTATAATAAATACTTCTTTTAGAGCCAAAGTTCTTATAAAAATGTGGAAAAAACATTCTGCCAATGAATTAATAAAAAAGTAACAATAAAAGGAGTAATTCAGCCCAAAAGGAGCAGAGAAGGTCCACAGAGCATTGGGCAATCAATGCTCAGAAATGGCAAATGATGGGTGAGAGAGAAGCCAAGACATAGTGGTGTGGTTATGCCTTGAGGTAAAAAATCAAGTAATAATGGTAAGAATAATAATAGGTGACCTTTATTATTTTTTTCAATGGGCTGGACAGTGAGTTATGCCTTGTAGACAAAACTTTCTCTTTGCCAAAACTTTCCACTGACCTTCCAATTTAGGCTGACCAGTTTTTGTCTTGTGGTCAAAAGAGCCGTGAACTGAAAATAAGATCTGATTTCTATTCCTTGCCACTAATCGAGGTCAGTACACTTCACGTGGGCCTTTCCTTTATCCTTCTTCTATATGTTTCCTTTCCCTCTGTGTAATTCAACAAGTCACTCAACCACTCTGTGCCTGGGTTTTCTCACATGAGCTGGGTTAGGTAAATCTCCTGCCTTCCAACTCTACCAGTGTAATCATGATTTCTCCCAGATTCCCTTCAAATTTTTCTTTGAAAGTGGAACCAGATACATATCCACTCTGAAATAACTGCTTTGAAAGATTTTGTTTAAGAAGAAAGGGGAACCTCTCAAACCTTTCTGTGGAGCACATCACCAAAGCCTCTCAGGGCACACAAAATATAACCCCCACAATATAGCAAGCCACACCCATAGGGAAGACCAGCACAGCACTGACAACTGGAGATGGAAGAGGCTGCTAGAAAAGTGTTTTTAACAACCAGAGAGAGAACTTCGAGGTCAAAGGAGATAGAAATCAGTGAATACGAAGAAAAGCTGAAAGGAGGAGAAAGAAAACGCTTGTGTGGAACATAGTTAATTGTTTCTTCGGGTTACGCCTTAGTCTCTGCATTAATATGGGAGAGTCTTGCTTGCAAATAGCATTAAAGCCTTTCCCTCTGCAGCAGAGGAAGGACTGATGAATGGGAGAGGCTGGCGGTGAGATTTGGAAACTACTTTGTCTTTAGGTGGAAACAATGTGCCCACAGGCTTGGCTTTGGTGGCACAAGTGGCTCAGTTTTGAATTTATGGTTATTAAATTCCAAATTCGAAATCACCAAAAATAATGAAAATGGCCTGGGACAAGATACATCTTTGACCCAAACAACCTTCGCATGCTTAGAGGACTACAGAGGTGCCTGATTTAACCGTGGTAATTTATGTGTGGTCACCCCAACAACACCAGAAACGGTCTGTCGTTTTCCACCTTACCTTGGAATCCCAAATAGAAACATCACTGAGTGGAGGTGAACATGTAAATAGGAAAGACTTATTTAAACATGTTTGCTTGGGCCCTGGCCAGTTTGGCTCAGCGGTTAGAGCGTCGGTCTGCAGACCAGAGAGTCCCTGGTTCGGTTTCCGCTAAGGGCATGTACCTTGGTTGCAGTTTGGCCCTGGCCACCCCGGTTGGGGTCGTGTGGGTGGCAACCACTCGATGTGTCTCTCTCACATTGATGTTTCTCTCTCTCTCTCTTCCTCCCTCCCTCCTGTTCTATCTGAAGATAGATGCAAAAATGTCCTCGGGTAAGGATAAAAAAAAAAAACACATTTATTTGGTATCTGAATTATAGAAATGCAATGGTAAGAAAGCAGATAGTCTTGAAAGCCAGAATTTCAAGCAAACAAATTTGTGGAAAGTCTATTTTTTTAAAGTCAGTTTGGAAAAGTCAGTATATTCATGAATTCCTGAAACATGTTACATAAAAAATATCAAAGAGGAACTAAATGTGTTTGTACCTGGAGAGGAACATCCAACTCTAAGGGATGTCTTAAATGTTTACTGTTGTTGATAAACAAGGATCAGCCAAACTCCATATAAATTGTCAGGTTTGATCATTTGAAGTGTTAATGATATTGCCCTGGCCTGTGTGGCTCAGGTGGTTGGAGCATCGGCCTGTGAACTGAAAGGTGGCTGGTTCGTTTCTCAGTCAGAGCACATGCCAAAGTTTCAGGTTCAGTCCCTGGTTCGGGCACAAGTGGGAGGCAACCTATTGATGTTTCTCTCTCACATCAATGTTTCTCTCTCTCTCTCTCTCTCTCTCTCTCTCTCTCTCTCTCTCTGCCTTCCTCTCTCTAAAAAAGAAATAAATCAATAAAACATTTTTTTAAGTACTAGCAATACTTTTCTCCTAAGGAGGAAAATACTGACCATTAATTATCACAGAAGCTGAAAATCATTTGACAAATTCACCACCCATTCTTGATTTTAAAACAATTGTAATAAAATGGAAGTCAATGGCTTCCTTAAGACAAAAGCCAGCACCTTAATCAATGGGAAAAGATCTGACAGCATAGGCAAGCTTCTGTGTAAAAGGGGAATGGGAAAAGAATGTATATATTTCCTTCATTGTGCAAAACAGACAAACCATGACTACAATGTGCTTGAAATAATATGATTAACTCAACTTCCGCACTTGAGTCAAGAAGGGCCAGAGATTGCCTAAAGCTGATGACCTGGAAGTAGGCAGAGTCTGGGGGTACTACAGGCCCGAGACTCTGAAGGACACTGGATTCAAGGACTAAACAGACACAGGGAAATGGGGAAATGTCCAAAGCAAAGAGGTATCCATACTTTCCTTTATGGAGGGGCAATTGACAAAGACTAAAAGTCAGGAGGGAAAACTGCTTTGGGAAATGCATTTTACTTGAGTCATACTAAGTCTGAAAGGACAGGCTACACTAAATGTTGCATTTAAAAGATGCCTAATATAGCCCAGCCGATGTGGCTCACTGGTTGAGCATCCACCCATGTACTAAGAGGTCGCCAGTTGGCTTCCCAGTCAGGGCACATGCCCAGGTTGTGAGCCCAATCCCCAGTGGGGGGGCATGCAGGAGGCAGCCAATCAATGTTCTCTCTCCTTTCCTCTCTCTCTAAAATCAATAAAGAAAAAATATTTAAAATTTTTTAAATAAATAAATAAAAGTTGTCTAATATGCCTGGCCGGTGTGGCTCAGTGCATTGAGTGTGGGCCAATGGACTGAGAGGTCCTGGTTGGATTCCAGGTCAGGGCACATGCCCAGGTTGCAGGCTTGATCTCCAGTAGGAGGCGTGCAGGAGGCAGCTGATCAATGTTTTTC